TAATTTTACATTATTTATACAGTTTAAAGTACTTTTTTAAAAAAATAAACCTATGAAGAATAAACAAAAAAGAAGTACATATAAAGTTTTATTAGGGTTGTAAGACTTCACTATTAAAAATAATAAAAATCACTTTTTGTTTTAGAGAAATTAGAATGGTATAACCTAATTCTATCTATCGTTAAGAAGTCACTATTATTATAACTTCTTTAAAACCAGAAATGATTTTTAATCGTTGAGTCCTAGAACCCTAATATTCTTTGTAGTTTTATTTTGTTTAAAAAGTACTTTAAACTTTATAAATAATGTAAAATTAAAAAAATTAAATTGATTTAAGCAGCCAATCATACGAAATTCTTCCTATGAGATGGACAAGTCGGTGGGGGGTACACATAACAGCATTAATACCCTAAGTACAGACTTACAAAATTACAATTCTTAATATTTATTTCACATGTAGGCACGTTGGCATGCGGATCTACATACTTATTATACAGTAAGAACGTGCGCACTGTGCCAATGCAATGAGTCAGTCTGTAACATAAGCAATTACCTTTTTTTAAAATAGAATTTAACAACATCTTTCTGAAGCTGATCAAGGATAGAATGACAAATGGATGTACAGAGAATTTCCAGTTCAAGGTGGACTATTCTGGTTTCCACAATTGCATTATAAATAAAACGTCTTTTCAAGTACGTGGTCACTCCATCGTAACCGCACGCTTTATATAATGAAGTATCCTACAGTCGCTCGCAGTCTTAGTATCCTTGTAATATGTTTCCTATTAAGTAGCACGGCTGAAGGTAAATATGTATTGCGAATGTTGGATTATTTTTCTATTCTCATTACTGATTTTTCCTGGATTTGTGTAAATAGCATATCTCGTGCATATATATGCCACTGATGACTCCTATTGGAACCCAATTGATACCTGTATACCATACGTAACAAATTGTGACGGCCACGGATATGTGACGGTCAGGAAGCAATCTGCGCCGGTGGCACACTATTGGATTGCAATGTACCTGATGGTCAGTGGTCTTGTGCTCACGTGAAGAAAACCAACGTAGGCACTGGAGATTTGTACTACGCAACCAACAAAGATTCGTGTTTTGCATTCAAAGGTTATAAAAATGGTGCTTGGGAATTTAATCAAGTAGATTGTTAATGATTTTAATGGTTGTACACGATAGGAAGATAGATCCTTTC